TATAAAGTAATAAATTTATTTGCCATGGTTTAGGTTTTTTTAACAAATTTTGTTTTTTATTAAAAACATTTTTATATAATTCATTAAAAAAAAGAATAGAATTTAATTATACATATTTTACAAGTATTTAATGAAACATGTAAAGATTCAAGTATAGAAATAAAATAAGTAATTTCATTTGAAATCTTAAAATTATTAGAATTTAAAATTTTTTGAACAATTAATTTTTAAATATTTAATTGTCTAAGATAATCTATTGAAACAAATATAATTATACAAGTGGTATAAATTATTTGCTATTAACTCAATTCCCAAAATCCTCAAAAATAATTGCATCATGACTCAATTATTTATATGTTTTAATGGTGACTCAATTAATTGTGTCAAATAATTGTGTCAATTGCATCAAGGATCTACAAATTTTAGCAACATGTATAGTTGAGACCACTTTGGCTGATTAGTATTGTGTTGAAACATTTGGAAGAGATTCTATAAGCTGATTTTATGAGTTAGTTGATTTTGGTTTGGAGCTGTTTAAGATTTGTTTGGTTGAGAGCAGAAAGTATTCGAGTTTCCTATAATTATCCAATCACTGATTTGCTACTTCATCTCTTCTTTCCAATTGATTTGGATAGCTCATCAATGATTTGAGTTAATGTTTGGATGAATGCTTTCCTGTTTGTCCTAAAAAATTTCCTGGAGAAAATTAGTGTGCCAAGATATTTCATACTCTCATAGGATTTGAGAATTTGGATTTGGTAATTGTCAAATTTAATTGTTTCTTAGATACCACATTTAATTTTGATGTTGTTGATGATCTTGGTTTTGTTCTTGTTGCATGTGATACTATTAATTGCAAAAAACTGATCGGTTGTTGTAAGAAGGTCTTCCATCCCTTGCTTGGATTCAGCGATAAGTACTAAATTATTTATATAGGCTAAAGTGTTGGGAGTGATGTACCCTTGGACTGGACGGTATTGAGCCAGTTTGGTAATAAAGGGATCATAGAAAATGACTCAGATAATGAAAATCTTATAGAATCACATGGTCCGATACCAAGTCCCAGAGCAATATTTTGGTTTATACATGGTTCAAACACAATAGTTAAGATTCATAAGAGATGATTATTAGTGCAAAAAGAAATAATACTTAAGGAAAAGTACTTTACAATAGATCCAATTAATAACCTTTTCAGGTGTCCAGGATGCTCAGCCAGTACACAATTACATGGCTTTTGCTGAATAACGTTCACAAACTCAACATCATTTACTTTATGGATATCTCTCAATCCATTCAGTACCAACAAGTACCGATTACTAAACATTATTGATGAAACCATTAACTTATTATGCAGAAGTGAACAAACTCTTTAATCAATCAATATTAACAACAACCCATCTCTCAGAACATCACTTCAAGAAGTAGAGCATTACCAACACTACTATATTTAATCTCACAAAAGCTATTTAATTATCAACAAGTGCAAGATAAAACTTTCTAGTACCTGTTTAGCTCCTGGCAATATCCTACTAGCAATACTCGACATTATTTAATAGAGTTCTCAGTACAATACCATTGAAATCAGAAATAACAAAAAATTCTTCAACTAGTATCGATTCATTTGAAAAGAATAGTCAAAATTAACTTTTCTTTTCTAATCCAGAAAATAAATCAAGTCCTAAAACAGAAATCAATAGAAGTTACTGTATATATATCAAACTTAAGTCCAGACTATTTACAAACAAGACAATCCAATGGAGCAACTATCCATCACACTTCTCAGAGAGTTCTTTAATCAACAACACATGTCTAGGCAGCAGTATCAAATAGTGTAAAAAAATTTTTAACATTACCAGAAATTATATGATTTGTGAAAGCACCTCAGTTCTCCAAACTTTTGAATAACGTCATATCCTATACAGTTTAAAAATCATCAATCAGTTCAATAAAAATATCAAAAAGGCATACAACAACAGCTATAGCAACCTAATAACATTTAAAATTAAACTTCTCTCAGGAACACTCTCAACTTATCAAATACTCCACTAATATCATTCTAACCAATATTCAAACAGGTATTGTTCAAGATGTGAACTTTGTACCAAAGATATCCAGCATGTCTTTAAATGTTCTGAAGCCTCAGAAGAGACCAATTAAATCATAAACAACATCAATTAAATTCTCCATCCAGATAAAAATCTCAAACCGATTTCTCATATATGGCAAGTTATAGAATTGTTATGTGACATGACTGATAGAATCTTCTTTACAACAGACATCACCAACTGGATCAAGGTGTCAACTAAATCTCTAATCCAATTATATAACTCAATTTGGAAACTACAATGCAATACTGCCAACACCTCACCTTTTACAAGTATCAAATAGAAACCAAACAAATCACTAAACACTACCAACATAGCCAAATAAAAAAGAAATTACACTGTCTCTAGCAGAAGCTCACATTCCAATGATATCCAAAACAAAACTATTATAAACCTACTGACAATTGTCACTAACTCTTTTTTTTAATATAACTATAATTATAACAAATATATTTAAAAATTAATCACATCTCTTCCAAACACCATTTTCCTTAATACTGAGTAAGTATTCATAGCTGCTCAGTGCCATACAGCAAGATATATTGTTTAAACTTTCTTTTCAATATTAGTTATATGGTTACTATAGGCAAGTTAGCATTTAACTCATTGTATCAACATATGAGAGATGTTGTTTCTTTCACAATGTATACCTTGTTATATATAAATAAAATAAAGAAATAATGTTTACCTACTTTAAAAAAAAAAAAGAATTTGGCACACTTATACTTCAAGTGATATAAGAATATATTTAAGTTTTTAATAAATTTTTCAAGAACTAATAATTCAATTTTAATAAAAATTAATAAAAATTATAAAAACAATTATTTTTATAATTAAAATCTTATATTATTCTAATTAAAATTTTATATTCTTATAACTAAAGTTTTATATTCTTATAATTGAAATCCAATCTAAGTTATGTTCTTAGTTATGTTTTTATTAAATAGTTTAAAATCTATCTTTAGGTGTGTTATATTGATAATTTTATTTAACTGAAGTATAATAGTTACATTTCTAGAAATGATTAGTTTACTGTTCAAAGTATATAATAATATGATTTGTAATTAGTTTGTTTGTTAATAATATAATTTTGTTTTGATTGTTATAATCATAAAAGATTTTGTTTATATTAATTAAAATTTAATATTTTAATTATATGAATTTATTTAGAAAATTGATAATATTTAATTAATTAAATTTGAAATATTAATCAATTAATAGAAATAAACTAATTATGATTTTTTGATAAGAAATTTTTTATATAAAAATTTTTAGTTTTTAATGATATAGCAAAATATGCTAAATAATAGTGAGAAATAAATATTGAATATATTATTGATATTTCAAGTTAATAATATAAACAATTTTAATATAAAATCTAATTTTTTGAGATAAAAAGAAGTTTTTCAAACAAAAAATATAGTTATTTAAAAAAATTTGTATATTGAAAAAAAAATAAGAACTTTAAAAAAATTTTTATAAAAAAGTAACTGTTATAGGTCTTTTCTTATATAATTCAAAAAAAAAAAGCAAAACTATTATATAATGCTTAAATTATTATTAACTTCTTTATATATTTATAAAAAAATTATTATATTAAAATAATATTGAAATAGTATTATTAAAAACTTTGGTTATTATAATATTTAAAAAAAATATTCAATTTAATATTAATTTAATTATAATAATAATAAATATTGTTATTTTAAAAACTTATTATAAATTAAAAAATTTGAATTTTTGTTTTTTTTTATATTTATATAACTATAATTCTTAATAATATTATTTAATATTAGTTTGATATTTAAATTTATTATATATTTATATAAGCAAATTATAATTAGAATTTCAAACTGATATTAACATAGTATTAAAATAAATTGACTTATAATAAATTTAATATATAGGTTATAATTCACTATATTAAACTTATAATAAATTTAATATTAACTTAATATTGAAATAGTATTATTAAGAACTTTAGTTATAATTTATATATTAAATTTATTATAGATTAGTACTATTTTGATATCAGTTTAATATCAATTTGATATTTTTCAAAGTCTTATACTTGAAAAATATATTTAAAAAAGTTAATAGTTAATAAATTTACTTTAAAAAAATTTATATTTATATCTTTAAAATAATTAGATATATCTAATTATAAAAAATTCAATATTAAAAAAATTTATATTTTATTATAAGTAAAAATAAATAAATTCATTTAATATTTTTTAAATTATGTAATATATTTTTTTAATACTTTTTTAAATATATAAATAAATTATCGTGTTTAAATAAATAAAATTAATTGTTTAGAATTTTATATTTTAAAATTTTTTTGTAATTTAATAATAATTTTTGATTAATATTAATATATTATTACTATTATTTTAACAAAATGATATTTCGATTTTTAATTATAATAAAATAAAATTCAATAATTCACAAAGACTGGTTTAAAAAAAAAAAAATCAGATCAGAACCATTAATAGTAAGTAGTAACTTCATAATTTCATCACTAGATCCACGTAAAGAGAAACATAAATTACAATAAAGTGGTAGTATAAATAAATTTTATCTAAATATTTATAGCAAACATTTACATGAACCAAAAAAAAAGTACAGAAAAGGTGTGAAATCTCATCCTAGTGATCAAACTACTACCCAGTAACAAATATCCATTAATTGTTACTGTCTAATTCACATACAGAAAAAAATGAAGGATTTGTAAATTTGTAAAATTTGTACAAGTCGAAATCGAGTGGCAAATCTTCAAAGAAAAAAAAATCAGGCAAATTGGATAGTAAAATACTATATGTAATAGTCACCAAGCGATTTCTAAAAACGTATGGATTTTGGGGAAGTAATTAAAGTTCAGATTCAATAATTTGACTACTGTTCTTTTTTTGTAGCGACTTCATCGCCGCCATCAATGCCAAAGGTTTTTGCAACTGCAGATGCAGGTGTCTTGTTCAGACCATCTCTGACTTGTTGTCTTATAAGGTCGAGTACATTTGCTGCTATCATACGAGCAGCAGATTCGACTGGTCCCAAAAGATTTAACATATAAATTATGTATCCGATAAAGCCAAAAAAGCAAACGAACATAAGGTACATTGGAGATGTGAGAATAATCAAGAGCTCGTCCCAACCAAGCAAAACTGAAAAAAAAACAAGATATTAAATTAATTTTAGCTAACATTTTGACACAATAATGAAGGAAATGGTTTAAGAGGGTACCTAGCAAAACGATCATCCAGTACGGCACGCGAGCCGTCGTTGCTACTACCGAACGTTTTGCTTCTAGATAGAAAGCATCCGATTCTCTTTTGAAACGAACAGACAGATCATGTTGTTTTGTCTCTGAGAGAATTATCAGTGAATCTTCGAAATTAAATTCCTAAATTTTAAGAGTAAATCTGATCATGTCACCTTGTAATCAAAATTTTCAAACACTGATTATAATCTTACATCATCTGAAGGTATGTCCAGCTCTACGCTATCAGGTATTTTAATCGTGGAGAATAATGGTATTAAGTTGAGCGCCTGTGAGTGAGTAACAAAGAAGGACTTTAAAATCGAATAATGTGTAGTTACAATTTATAATGAAGAAGACGAGCAATAATACCTCATCTCTTGCTTTTCTGAAATGTGCATCGATGTTATCATCGGGTTTCCATACTTTTGGTAATCCTTCTTCATCATACCGGAATTTTTCCTCAAATCTACAACAAACAATATTACACGTACACTCATAATCCAAAAAAATTAATACTCGACGCACAAATTAAACTTACCTTTCACGTAGTTTAAGTAAGAAAATATTTTCAGCAAGTTCATCATCTATTTTTTTGCGTAGCTGTTGCCAGGAACGCTTGCGAAGATTTTCAATAGATTTTGCGTTTTCTTCTTCGGAAGAATTAAAACCTAACGCGAAATAATTTTTCGTATTAATTCCAAAATATTTAATTAAATTAAAATTAACAGAGTGTACATACTTTTTGCACGTTTCAATAATAATTGTTCATGGTCAAAAAGAACTTGCTCAAACTTTTTGAGAATCTTGTCCCACATGTCTTGATTGGGTGTTTTGAAATATAAAGAGACGAACTCGCTAACTTGAGCTTGAAAGGATTTCTGAAACAAAGGAAATAATATGTAAATATGGAGAAAGAAAACGCATCAAGTATATCAAACAAAAATTTAAACCTCCAAAGTCTTGATCATCTTTTTCGTTTCTTCAACACGTGATTTTGCGGATATTTCATCAATCGCTTCTTTCAATTGCGCATATTCCTCTTCATATGTCCAATCAGTTTTTGTCAATAGAATAGCTAAAACAAACGGAATTCTTTAAAAAATTTTGACCAGCAAATAAAAACGCGCGAAGAAATAGAAATCTAGATACATTTTGCTCCATCAGAAAAAAGACTTTCAGCTTCCTCACGAGAATCGTTAACAACCTTAGCAAAATCGTATTCTCCTTTCAAACTTGCCTAAAATTAGAAATAATGTTAAGCGTATGTTTATTAATTAATATAAAGTATGGTAAACTCATGAGCTTTACCTGAACACGAGCATTGAATGTTGTTAAAGCTTTCTTGGTCAAATTTTTTAGCTGACCCAAAAAAAAAACGTGTAGTTGTGAATTTGTTTTATTAAAAATTTCTGTACGTTTGCGGTTGTAAACTTCTGAATGGTAGCGAGAAGCGTCCTTATCAAATTGTTCTGTGATAATAGATGGGAATCATTACTGAATATGAATGAACTGATAGTTATCGATTGATATGCGAACAGACGTTGAGATAAACTTACTGAGGGTAGCATTTCTAATCTCTTCCATTTTAGGCCCTAAATCATCGATGATTTTCCCAGATTCAATAGGCTGCCTAAACTCTTTTATTTTTCCGAGGAAAGCATCAAAAGCTACCTTTTTTAATAAAAGAAATTTCATGTTAGTTTGTCAGACGGATTTTTTTTTTTAAAAAAAAAAAATTAATAAATTAAAATATTTACCGTTGCTATCTCATCGCAACGGTATTGCGCCAATAATTCTTGTTGTGTTGGCAAGTCAAGGTCCTTGTTGGACATAATTTGATCCTAGGTATTTGCGTGATCAAATATTAGATAAAATTTTATTTCTTTTTTATTATCCGTAATACTTGAAAATACATACCCAAATACCTTGACAATAAACGTGGAAACCATCAGCAGGCACTCGTTTGCTGTAATTCGGTTTGAAAACAAAATCCTTATGGTTTGGATCCACAAACCTATGAGTGTAATAGAAATTGTGAGGTTAATAAGAGCATAAAGCAACTACATCCTCATTATAATACCGAATACCAAAATATACAAACCGTGCTCGCAATTTGACCACCTCTTGGTCAAACTCCTTTGGCAAAAGGATTTTATGAGGCAATGTGGTAAACATGAAGTCAAAATAATCTTTGATCACACAATTTTCCAATCCTTCCGGCTAGGAATAAATGAATCCAATTTGTAAAATTGTAAAAATTATAATTTATAAAATTTATAATTCAATACCTTTGAAACGCTCTGCCAAATTCTTTCTAAATCATTTGTTAATGTAGCCGACAGATTTTCTAAAGGGGTTGATCCAACATGATCTCTAATGACAAAGAGCAACAATGTCTTCTCTTTTCTATAATGAGAATGTGTAAACACAGTATTAGGTTCAAATGTGTGCGAAATGTATAAAACAATGGATAATCCAAGAAAAAGAACCAACCCTCTTGCAGCCTGAAATAATTGTAAATTCACTTCGAACACGGTTTTTAGAAGCCCCATATTGGCACCCTGATATAGACCGACTTGATGTTCCCAGAGATTTACAATAATAACATTGGATGTGGCCATGGAGAACAAAGCGCTTTTCCTTTCGAAATCCTATTTTGTTGTAAACCGTCACATCTTCTTTCAATGGAACTCTTCTCCAACTTCGATAGTTTCTAAAAAAAAAATAAAATGAACACTTAACATACCTGATCTTCACCACGTTCACGGCCATCTGTACCTTCAACATCCATGATCAACACATTCATATCCTTCCCCTGACTCATCCAAATTCCTAAATCACGAAATTTAAGCAAACGTTATTCATTCTGAAAAAGAAAACTTTTTTTCTATTTTTTTCTTTCGAGAAAATAACAGTTCTATTATAACAGGGATACCTTTGGTAGTTTGACGTCGTGCAGTTTCACTCATAACGTCGAAATTTGTCCCAAAAAGTCGATTTAGCAAAGTACCTGGAGAAAAATAATGTAATTGTTTAGACCAATTTCGAAACACATTCCGTAACAACCTTGATTGTTCGTGAATTCTCACTTTTTCCAGTACTCTGTGACCCAAATACAGCAACAAGATTATAGTTAAATCCTGAGTCAGCCAGTCCCCATTCTTTCATGTACTCTGGAAGCTCTTGCCTTTAGAACAAACAAACGAACGTTAATCTCGTAAAATTTCAAAACTTTGAAGGTAATAAGTGGTTTTCACGTACGAAAAATGCTGGTTTTCGTCAATTATTTGTAAACGGGGCAGCGTTTTATGGACGCCATTTACTTGTTGAACCTGCCCGTTGGCCATATTTACAAGCTTTTAGTAGAAACCAAATTAAAATGTATGCCAGATACCAAGAAGCTTGAGCTATTAATGAATCGCGGTCTTGAAGAATACGGTTAAAAAATTTTAACCTATTAACGACCTTTTTCTCTATTGGTATAGCATGTGACGTAGAAATTACATGATTTTGTGTATTATATTCTATATGGGCGTACAAGAGTTTCACACAAAAGGTTAAATACAATACATTTACTAATAAAATGATAAAGCCACTTACATATGCATATGTACATACGCAGATATTTTATTAAGCACACCGGAAGCACATGAAGTTCACGAAGAAGGAAAGCATCTTTGGTATTATCTTCAAAAAAAAATTTTTTTTTTACCTTTAACCAGCTTTGAGATTTTCCGTCTTAATATTATATATAGCCTTTATGGCTTAGTTTATGCTTAGAGGTTCTATATCGGGAATACGAGTTTTTTCTCCTGACACATGACCGAAGATTTTATATTTCCCGATGTTCAATGGCACATTACAATATTCTCCGTTTTCGTCTCGAGGTAAAACATACGCATTATGTTTTCTTGTAAATATTAGCATCTTGCAGGTTTCCACAATGTAGATAGAACAAAAAAACTCGATTTAGACAAAATGATGATCATTTCATAATGTTAAGGCAAGAATTGTGATGCAAATCGAAAGAATCATCATTCATTCTATATGCCTTATGGTCATGATTGAATATTGTTTGTGGCACAAGATTTGCCCAGAAAGGGATGTATGTACGTTTGTCAACCAAAAAAAGTATTCGCAACGTATATTCCAAAAAAGAAAATCGACACAATGATGCCAAAATTCGTAAAGTTGACTTGTAATAATTTATGAAACATCCGATTAGATATGCTTTCGTTAGTTCTTTAGAGACGTGGAAGAATTGTCATTATTTTTTCTCTCCATTTTAATACCCTCCAAATTATCAAGATGTAAATAATTGTGATCTCACCTCTCGCTATTACCCATTTCCAACTCATTATAGTGCGCCACTCTCTGATTAACCTCTCGAGTTTACCCAACCATTTATTTGTTTTTCCCAATCCAGCTTTCATTGTATCCTCTTTCTCCAATAAACCTTCTTGCAAGATTTCCACAATTAATTTCCCACGACAACTCGGACATGTCGGTGTAGGATTTATCAATCTGTACTGTGACAGCCTTAAATTTAAATTCTGCCAAGCAAGAGTTCGTGTTAATTCCGACATCCCCATTGTGTACCATCGGAACATACATGGGCGGTGTGCCACGTGATGAGGAATAACGCAATAATTCTCAAGAATTCCTAAATCATCATCCTCTTCCTCGTCTTGATCTGGATAAAATGTCGTTGCCCCAGTACCCACACCTACACCATAGCAGACACAGCAATCTTCGTCCGCTGTACCTTCAGGCGAGGGACGTCCCCGTATAGTGAAACATATAGAATTCCGAATATGTAAAAAGTGCCTTAAAAGGGCAAAATAAATAAATTCCTCTAGTAATAATGCTGGTATATAATACCATAATAGATTTGGTATGAACGCAAAAAGTGATGGAAGTAATGTGTTATGTGAGCGCAAGGACTATACATGCAAAGCACAAAAATCAGTTCTTCGTTCATCTGTTATTCTGTGTTGAATAAAAGCAATTCATGACATACCTTATGCTTTAACCATCGCAAAAGAACGTAAACGACCTGAGGTTTTCAAAAGGAAGTTTTTATTCGTTGTCTTGAAACAATGATCGATGATAATTTACTCATTACATACCAGCATATGACAACAAGCTATCGTCTTTTTCTCATCTTTCGTGAGCTTTTTTCGAAAAATTAAGGG